GGGAACGTTGGAAGCACTGTCTGACGCGTCTGCCTCCGCGACCCGAAAGGAGAAGCGGCGATGGAAGATACACATTCGAAATTAATTGAGCTTTCGATTCTGTTGCATGCAGTTTCCTTCGGTATACGTATCACATCGAAGACTTAAGTGAACAACTGGGAACAGGATCGAAGAGAATTAAAGACGATTTATTTATTATTGATTGATGTTTATTCATGTGTTTTAAAGGCATATTCTCTAGAGCCCTGTTATGTGCAGGTTGTCAACTTGTCTGATTTACATCAGATTCTCCATAGGGTCATACTGATCACTGTTTTACGGCACAGCGAATTCAAGAAATTTAATATGGTGCCAGTTATTATTGGCTACCAATTGCTTTAACATCGCTTCATGATGAGTGTGATGCTCTAGTAGAGAAAGCGAAATAAAATGCATCTGGTACTGCAGGTACCTAATTACAATGAAGCGGTGGTCTGCTTAAATACCCATTTGCGACTAGGAGCAAGAAGCGGGGCAATATAGCGTGAACTCTGGTCTTGAAGGAGTCGCGATATTTAAAATAGTAATTTTTCATTTTCATTTAAACTAATTTAAATCCAGTTAGTTAACGAAAGTGGAATATTAACAAGAAATAACTTCACAATTACACATCGCAGTTATAAATTATCAGTCATTGTACAATAGAAAACAATATTTAATTTTCTGACGAAGATTTAGGTTTATCTAACTGTATATCATTACTTATATTCTACCGTTTTTTTTAGATTACTTCTGGAAGAGCTATTCGAATATATCGATCGTCTGCAGATTGAGGGTTCTAAGCCGGTTTCATGTGAAAATTCTTTAAAGTACGCTACCTACCTTCATTCGTTGTGCTGTTTGTTCGCTTAATTTAATAGGAGATCTGAGTTTGCTTGAGTAATAAAAGTGCACTGTTGTTTAGTCTTTGGTTACCATTCATTTTAAGGCATTTTTTAGACGTGATGATGGTATAAAGCAATATTGTTTTTATGCTAATATTGGTTCGTTATCTCAGAGTACAGGTGCTTACCTATAAAATTGCATGCGTTCAAAACGATATAGCTGGCGAATGCGTGCCCCCTCAAATTATCATCACTCTCTCAGTTGCAGACTTTACTGGGGTTTGTGATAATCTCGCACTACCACAATAGCGAAGGTGACTCCGTCTGCTTTGCCTTTTCATGAAATTTGTATTTAAATCATTAAATCATTAAGAGGACAATGAATATTTTACCTATAATATGAATTTTCAGATTCCACAGAGTTCTGGAATTTCTCACAATTGTTCAGACATAATTTCACAGAGCTTGATTACACTTCGTATCGATGTTTAGAAAATAATTGTCTTCAGTTTTTTATGTTTTAATTTTCATGATTTCGATTGAACTACCTTTCATCTTATAATTGAAAAGTATTTACAATAATTTAGCACTAAATGCGCTGGTTCTTTCATTTCATGTCTTGGCTCATTTTTCTACAGTGTTTGTTTCAATTTCATTGTTATTTGTTTATTTTAAACATTGCGAAAGTAAAATTCCTTTTTTAATATATAAAATCTTTTTCATATTGTGTTTCTACTTTCGTTAAATTAAAATAAATTTTGTATCTGTTTCAGAATGCAACACATAGGTGTGCTAGAAAGTTTGCTAAGAATAATATTTGTTGCTCCCCACCATTATCTTGGCTCATAATCATTATTTATAGTCGTCGATTCTTGATAGAAGAGTTTATGTAAATCTACTTCGAGCTTTTAGTTTGTCTTTGCCAGATATTTAGTTTCGCATGTTTCGTTTGAAGATATGACTTACTGACCTTAGTTTATCGAAGACGGTTAGGTCTCATGAAGATATAGCAGCTTAAATTGGACTTTGTGTATATTTATAAAAATTTGGGCAAATATTTTTGTTAATTTCTTATTTATTTATATTGAAATATTGAATTTTGGCAACTTTTGCAGCTTGTTCGTCGGTCGCGCAAAGGATTTTATTTATCACTTGGCAGCAGCAATAATAATTGGTTGTTTGATAAATGCAACATTGCGAATATAATTATCATTACTGCTGCAGCTTTTTATTACTATCTACTATCAACTCTGACTTGTTTAGACTGGAGGAAGAGGCAGCATTTTCGCGACGGCCTATGTATTCCGCCGAAGAGATGAAACGTAGTCTGAGCAAAGCGCGAGCTGTTGCTTTCAACGAAATCATTGTAAGTTCGTCAAATGATTCTTGAGGTGATGCTCTAAAAATAAATTTCAAGGACGTGAATGGTTTGTTGAATGTCACGGCTATTAAATCTGGCTACAGTATTGGTACCTGCAACTGGCTAATCACCACTGACTACCACAAGGTGTGGAACTTTTCCATATGTTTATTGGAGCTACTATATTTATTTAAACTTTTTTGCCTACTGCCTTTTCAGATTGTCTATCTCTCAACGTCATCGCTGTTTTCCACTCATGTCAAGGTGCATTCCGCGACTCTACTGCTGCTTCTTTCATTTGGTGAGGTACTGTTTAGGCGATCGATTTGGCGCCAATGATGTCCCCTGATGTCGTCATAGTAAGCTGTATAAGTCAATTTCCCCATAGACATCCTGACGAAACTCTCACGGAATTCGCCAAAATCATCGGTATGTGACAGTAACGCCTCTTGTTACAAAATATTGTTTTATTTTATGTAACAGTCAATTTCAGAGAAAGTGTTGCGTTCAGGAGGCAATGTCCTTGTGCCTTGTTCTCCTACAGGTCTGATTTACGACCTCATCGAGTTCCTCTCGATTACACTGGCAAACGACGGACTATCTAAAACATCTATGTATTGCGTGTCTAGCGTCGTCGACACATGTTTTGCGTTTGCAAACATATACCCAGAATGGTGAGTCGACGATCTGGTTATTATTGGACATATCATACTTCATGTTTTAGCCTAGTCGAAAGCAAGGAGCAGAAAGTGTTCGTGCCGGAAGAGCCATTTCTTCATGGATCGGTAAGTACGCTCATTCTAAAATTGAAATACCTACTTTTATTGCTAATTTTTCTAAATCAGCAGTAATTTTTGATTTGGTTATCATTCAGCTTAAGCGAAAATTGTTCAGTGCATTATGAACTCCAGGTTTAAGATGTCTGACATTTTGAGTCCATTGAAGACATAAAGAAGCCAAATCACCAAAGGGCGAACTCGGCACGATTCTCTTTCCTTGTCAAAACGGTTGTTACGGCGTATATAAAACATGTCGAACCTTCACGCATGTTTGAACGTACCATAGGAGCGTTGTTCCGTGAGGTAGTCTATGAGGCTAATTACATTTTTGAAAGATTTCAGACTGCCGCTATGTTTGAAGTAGAAGGTCTTCTGTCGCTGCGGTGTAGATGTGAAACTTGCCTTAAACGTGAAAGCTGCTTGTAAATACAGATTGCGCAGATCAACGTAGAAAGATGCGTAGAGAATGAGGCGAAGAAATAAAAACTCGAACAAATGGATACTAGCACTAACGGAAGTCTGCGATGTCATTGGTGGAACAATGAGGCTGTAGCAGTAAATACTGGAGCTTCGCTTGACTAAAGAGATATTCGACTGACACTAGCCCACATAAAGACCTCTGGGTCGATGATAGGATGAGTTGAACATGTTTGTTTAATGAATATGGGTATGAATCTCAGAAGACATAAGTTGATTTCTGACTTTTGATTCACGGATTTTTGTGATCCTTGATAAGACCTTAATCTGCATAGAGTATCAAAGAAACATATTGAGGAAAGTTATCTAAGTGAATTACTTAATTATTTGAAGGGTGAAATTATAAAAAAAAAACTTTGCCCAACTACGCTTCATCTTCATTTTATTCATCTTCAGTTTGTACAGCAAGGTGCTAGACCGTGTAAAAATTTCATCAGACACGATCTAGAACATCTGCATATATGCACGCTTGTGATTTAAAAGAACTGTTTTGTTGACACTATCTGACCAATAACCCTGATATAGCATTTGAGTTCTCATGCCATCGTGGATATCTTCAGTAGATGCATACAACGCTCGACTGTGTGCCTGTAGTAGTCAGCTTCTTTCAATGGTGATAAAACGCACGTACAATGTCTCGCCATGGTCTGCAATACTCTGAGCACAAGCACCCATTTGTTTTTCACAATCTGCAAATGATCGATGAGGTTCTAGGAGCAGATAGTTCCTTCCTTGTCGTGTGCCAGTGAGTCACTCAGCTTCGAGAATTAAAGTATTTTTTTAAACACATTGTTATCGCACAAGTAGCGCTGGAATGTGTAGTATGGCGATGCGTGAGTTACAGAGTTGGTGTTTTTAACCAATTTTTCAGAGATGAAGCTCGATGAGATGGCCTGGCATTTGGGCTAAATGGTACCTTTGACATGAATTTTTTAATTCATTGGTTTAGAATCTAAACATTTCACTGGATGATTCGCAAGTGTTAACTTTTCCAAATAACAGCCTATATTTTGTTTCCCTGCATTACTCAAATAAGTAAATAATCTTCTAAATGCAGTGGTTTTTAAACGCAATGACTGTTTAATCGGCTAAAAGTTCTTCTTTACTTCTAAGGTTTCGACCGTAAGCAACGGTTTTCTTTGGATATGGAATACTAGTTCCATTCAGAGAGGTTGTGTATGCTGTTGCCTCCATATTTTGTAAAGTCTAAAATGTGCAAATAACTATAAGTTGTTCTTATTTTTTTCTTTTTCAGTTGAACAAAAATGGTGATCTGAAGTACTACACGTCGCTTCACGGTTAATTTGTTGAATTCACTGTGTACTGTTTTTAATTTTACATTTTAAGAGCGCTTACACAGCGAGTTTGAACCTCCAGCGGTGGTTTTCGCATCACATCCGTCTTTGAGAATGGGCGACTCAGTTCATTTTATGGAGTTTTTTAACACAGATCCCAAAAATGCTGTCGTAATCGTTGGTAATTTTGCAGAGACTTTTGACGACTTTGATTATTGTGTCACTTCTAGAACCAAGTTTCTGCGATGATAGAGTATTGGCTCCTTTCCAGCCGTTAGTCATGAAGGTTGTCACCCTAATATTACTGTGAAGCTGATCAGTAATTTTGATACTGTGCTTTAGGCTGCTTTCTGTCCCGTGGATACGAGGCTTAACCCTTCGCAGTTTAACATGCTGTTGCAGGAAATTAAACCGAAGTCGGTTTATGTTCCAGAAGGAGCCCTTGATCTTTTATCTTCGAAGTCAGAAGAAACAGATCTGATGACAGGACCAAGACGTGTAATTTGAATTTTTTAGATTATTTTTGTTATTATCATTTCGTAAATTCATTCTGAACGTGCGCAACGTACTCTTAAATTTTCTAAATTTCCCACTCAGTGGTTCTGGGTGCAAGGTTGGGCCGAGGATTAATGTCAAACATGGTATTATTACGCAAATAAGCTACTCAACAGCGGCCTTCTTCGGGACAGTGCATAGGCAGTAGTACTCTGAAGTGTTACAGTACTCTGAATAGCGTCAGGTACCTCTGATTAGCCAATGCAGTGGACTCCTCTCTTTGGCGATGTCGAAGGAAGTTATGCAGTTACCACGCATAGCTTGTTCTTTTTCGTTGAGATATGCAGCGATTGCTTGACCAAAAAAATTGGCTCAATCATCTTTATGGTCGACGACTAAAACAATTTTCTACTAGGTGATGTCCATGCTCTAGAGCGTGAGGAGCATAAACTGCACTATTATGTGACTGTTCGTAATAGCCAGCCAGTGCTTACATATTCGAACTTTCAAAGTTTTGTAAGTTTTCCCAAAATAAATCTGCTACATTGAACTGAATAGACTACATCCGTTTGCTCATTAATGGCCGATGTTGATCTGAAGAAAGTTTCGCAGATTTCTGGCAGAGCATGGTCTCACTGTATCCTTTTCTCGAGGCCTCACTTTTCTCCTATGCATTAAAAGAAGCCTGATCAGTGGATTGAATTGAGCCTCCCGAGAAAGTCTGCGCAACGGTGTTAGAGAGATAGTGCTGCAGAATAACTGACTCAGAAACAGATAGCAGCTGTGTGGTTTCAGGTCTGGCTGATGCACCTCTGTCCAGATCTTCGCCTTACGCCTGGTTGCTGACAAACCATGGGAGTTAGTACATCCAGTTAACATTGGCTTTGCTGATCTAGAGAAAGCCTGTGAACAGATCCTGCGTGACAAACTGTGGCGTACCTGTAAACGCGCCGGAGTAATGGCCATTTGCTATGATCCATCCATTAACTGTATGTTGATGTCAAGTGCTGCGTCAAACTAAATTGCATTAAGTTGAGACATTTCAAATTTGGCACTGGTGTCCGCCAAGGCTGCGTTCTCTCACCTCTCCTGTTTGTGTTTTACATGGATGGAATAGTCAGACGTTGCCAAGGCAATGAATTATCAGCGTAAGAGATGTCGAGACGATAGGGTTGCTGTTTGCAGTCGACATTGTTTCGTTGGCATCTCCTGAAATTGATCTTCCTCTCGGCATTGTCTGGAGTTATGATATCTGACAGAGCCTTTCTCTACAGGAGCTGCTTCTGCAGATCTGTGATGGTTTTTATACCTCTTGCGAATGCTTCCAGAATGGCGGACGAAACAGCTACTACTTACCCAGCCGATCAACCAGAGATTCCGGGGACGGCTAAAATTATCCTGGGGCAATTATCTTGAAGGCTCTGCTCCAAACCGATGATATCTTCCCTCGAAGGTGAAACGCTATGCGAGTATCCATCAACTTTGGGGACTCTAACTGAGTGGTTTTCTCGACCAGCTCTGATACAAAGTAATTGAATATGACTGAGATAGTGTGACGACGTTCTGATAATTCAAAAAGAGCGATTTCTTATGCTGTGCTAGGATAGGATACCCATTGGTGTAAATCAAAGATGACGGTTTTGGTTAGTAGTCCAATCATCTTGTTGCCACACTATCAGTCCTTATGTCAACTTCAGTCCTGTGTCATTTTGCTCTACGAAGCCGCTGAAAGATACAAGGTGCTGTTTTCACGACGGTTGTGATGGTCTCATAAGCTTAGCGTTTTGGGTTCTATTTTTGCTTTCATAGTTAACGAAATTGCGCTTCAGCCTGTTTTGCCCTTATATACGATCCGTTGGTTTCGTCATTGTCTAGCCGCAACTTCGACATTGAGGATAGATTTGGGAAGATCTTCTGCCTAATAGCGTGGGAAGAGCAGACAGTGGACAAAAAACAAGCCTCAGTTCTAGAAAATGCTATACTCTTAAGAAAGTAACAGAAACAGAAAGTAAGTTTCCTCTTTCTGAGGTAATAATAACATGATGTTACATGATTATACTCCAAAATTTTGATAATGTTCTGTTTGGTTTAAGGATACGCCTCATGTAACTTTCAGAAAGTATGAAACAATTTCAATCTCGCTGCCTTGGAGGTTCCGAAAGCTACACATTGACCCTGCCGTAAGATGCTTTTCTTAATAAGTGGGCACTGATTTTATTAACCTTTAGCTTGCTACCGCCGTCAACCTTACTCCTGTTGCTCCAGGAGTCTTTGCTGCCCCGTTGCGTGGTATTCTCTCTGCTTACGATAATCGCTATCGCTTAAGAGTAATATACTGAGGTAGCGTAAAACTAAAATAAATTGATTCATTTATTTAGGAAGCGGACAACTCAGAGTTACTGCAGTCGCCAACAATATTTTGCGGCATGGACTGGGATACTTTGTTACATTGTCTCAAAAAGGTAAAAATTCCGTGATTTCGGCCTCATCCTCTGTGGCCTACGCCACCGCTTGTTGCCTTTTTTTAGTTTCTCAATAGGTGCCCTGGGGTGGGCTTTCGGGCGAATCGACCAAACTGAGATGGGCCACCTTTTACAAGAAGCATTTGTTTATTGTACACACGTCGGAAAACCACGAGCTATTGAATAATGCCGACTTATCATGCGTTGTGTTGCAACAATACATTCTTTGAATCTGTTCTGACGTATGTAATAGCAAGCGTGGTTGGGTTTAAAAACTAATTGAACGAATTTAGCAGTTTACGGATTAACCTTCTTAAATGCTTCGTGTTGAATTGGCAGATCGCATAATAATATATGTTTTTCGCCATCTAAAATTGGTCAAAGGCAGTCGGTAGTCTGATGAGTCGCATGTGGCTTTGCGACCTCTACGACTACGAATGCAACTGTCATTCAGCTAGTTAAACTGTCAATAACTTGTTATTTCATCGTTACGCTGAATTTAGACTGCAGTTATGTTTCACTCATTCTTGACCATGAATCGCTGTCTGACGAAACACATCAACTGTGATTTTAAGATTTTATCGTCGTTTCGGTGTTTTAAAAATGCATCAAGAAATAATTTAATTGAAACTATTTAATTGACATTGTATTTGTTTAATGGCTGTATTGCTCCTCTTTTTTCTTACCATGAATCCAAGCGGTTGTCAAATAGAGTGAGTGTATAAAAACTTTGTTCGTTATCAAATGCACATTGTTTTTCACAGCATAAAACTGTGCATGTAATATCGCTAATTTACTCATGGTCTCTGTCTGAAGAAGGAACTAACGATTGGGATCACGGAGTTACTGTTGAATGTTTTCCTCCGGCCGCGTAACTGCGCGAAGGTCTGTAATCATCTCAGTGAATTGGTCCGCCAACGAAGCTGACAGATCTTCCTCATGCCTTTCATACCTGTTCTGTCTAGTAGAAATGTACGCAGAGGTCGAGGTCGGACAGAACTGAACCTCAGCTTCATGTTTATCTCTGAAGAAGCCATGTTGTAATGGTTTGGTAATGCCGTCTTTTCTGAATTAA